GCTTGCTCCACGGAGACCAAATCTTATTATCTGCTTTTAAGGCGTGGCAAAAGCTGTTTTGAAATCTAAACAAACTTCTAATGGACATGCACTGGACTTCTAACAAATCCACAGTGAAAACCTGTAACAAAATCTCCAAGCTCGCTCCAAACTTGCCAGCATGTCCTCATGGTGCCAGGCAGGAGTGTCCAGGTCCTGGCAGTCGTGGGCCAGTGTCTGTGCCGTGGTTGGGGACAGCAAAGAAGATGTGACCTCTCTCCATGCCACATCCCAGGGAAGTAGACACACTGCAGGGGGACCCCAGGATGCCTGCAAAGCACAGGAGAAACTACTCTTTTAGTCAGTGAGCAAGAGGGAGATATTAATTCTGACATGATGTATTTAAACTTTGAATTTTAATCATTTTTGTGGTTAATATAGATGACCACCAAAAAAACCCCATAACTTTCCAGAGCTCTTATGCCAGGGGAACATATTATCTCTATTGAAGACTTGCTGAAAACAAAGCAAGCATCAGGAAAAAAAGACAAAACCTAAACACATGTGGTGTCTTCCAAAATCAGCTTCTTCAATGAACTAACTGCAAATAGCCTGGAAAATTTCTGCTGGGAACAAAAACCTGAAAAAACAGAGCTCCACAGGTTCTGTTTGGGTTATTGTATCAGAGCGAGCCTGTTATTTTACCCAGCAAGCAAACTCTTTGTGCGTTTGCTCTCTGGTGCTCCCATAATAACTACTGGTAGTGCTGTAGCTGCCCATCATGCCTCGCTGGGGTGAACAGGAATACAGCCTGGCCACAACACCCCTCCCAAATGATGGTGCTGGGACCCTCTCGGGGTGTTACTCCTGCCAGGAGGTGCCTTGTCTGCAGGGCAGAGGGTGTGTTGGTGCCTGGCCTTCATCCTCACCACCCTCTCCTCACACTAAAGCTGCTGAATGAGATGGATGGGCCATGAGGGTCCTCACACTGGCTAAAGCCATGAAGATCTGTCCTGAGATGGATGGGCCATACGGGTCCTCACACTGGCTAAAGCCACGAAGATCTGTCCTCTGGCCAGGGGTGTTGTTTCAGGGGTTGGAGCCAAAGAGGAAAGACCTGAGGAAGCGAAAAGCTCAAGCTTTGGATCACAGGGGAGCAGCAAGCCCTTGGCTTCAATCAAGAGAAAGTCTGGCACTACAGGATCTCAAATTGAGGCTGAAACAAGGTGTGGGATAAGGTCTGTCCAACCATTCTGCAGTGGCCCCTGCAGGGGCTGGGGACAAGACAGGGAAAAAGAAATTTGTCTGGAGCTGGCTGTAATTTTTCACGTGCCCTGTCCCTTCACAGATGAAAGACTGTCAGGAGAGAGAAAAGTGATGGTCCTACCTGTAGTCTGGGGACAGGATGGGACATGGAATGAGGCAGAGTCGGTCTGGTGTATTCTCATACTCAGGGAACGAGCAAGCTGAAAATAAGGTCCGAAAGTCACATTTTGTCCAGGCAATTGCATGTCTCCACTCTGCTTTGGCCTTTGCTCTTGGGAGTCCTGTCAAATACCACAGCAGGACAAACCCGTGCTAATGGCCTCAAAGGCTAACAGCAATCCTAAAATAATCCCATGTTCCTCAAATAAACGTGATCATTTGGGCAAGACTTGGGTGTTCATATGTGCAAGTATAGATGTGTGTGTATGAATGCACACCAATCCTAAAATAATCCCATGTTCCTCAAATGAACGTGATCATTTAGGCAAGACTTGGGTGTTCATATGTGTAAGTATAGATGTGTGTGTGTATGAATGCGCATATACATACCCATAATCAATGATTTTATTAGAAGAAATGATTGCCAGGTTTGAAGAGTGCTGTCTAACAGAGGCAGGAAGCCTGTCACATACAGCATGCAGCCTTCTCTTTCCCAGAGCAGAGGCTGAGGGTGCCAGCGCAGCAGGAGTCAGAAGAGGCTACCTACCATGCAAATCCAGCATCATCCTTCTCCAGAAGAGCTGCCAGGCTCCCATAGGACTCGGGAGAAGCCGGGAGCCGGCGCCGTTGGCTCTCTCAACGCTGCACTTTGGATGCAAAGGCTCCTGGCTCCTTGCTGGACTGGCTGGGAGCCATCCAGAATTGATCCACAGGCCATACTTGGCACATGCACTACTCACTTCCAACCCTGACCCTTGAAGATCAGCCAAAAGATTATCCACTGGCCCTGCTGGGAAATGGTGTTAATAGCCACCAGTCCATCGTAAAGAGGAATTTGATAGCCGATATTCATTGATTTTTCTGAGAAGTCATGTGCTTATCGGGCCGTTAGCTTTTGGAAAACCTCCTCTTTAATCCTCAGCAGTCCTGAAGTCTCTGCAGCAGGGAAATATCACGGAATGGCCTCAGAGTCCTTCGGCGTCACTGCTAAACCACAGCAGCATTTGGGGTCACCGCTGCTCAAACACTTCCCTGGCTCCAGCAGCGAGCCGCTTCACAACGCAGGGCGCTTGGCTCGTTTTGACAGCTGGTTTATGGAGCCGGCACGGCTTCCAAACAAATCCGAGGGACTGCCCTGGAATGAACTGTTTCCATGGGGGCAGCCAGGAAACTTTCCAGGAGGCTCCAGTCCTTCCGAGGCAGCCTGCAGGGATGGAGGAGGAGCTTGCTCGCTTCTTGTTGGGGACGCCTTTTTTGTCCCCGATGCCTGCAGAGCTTTTCCCCTTGGGGAGGGACGTGCCACGCATGGTGAACCTCAACCCGCAGCCCCCCAGGAGCCCAAGCACTGCTCACGCTGGGGAGAGCTCAGAAACACCGCCTCTTGCAGACAGAGGAAACGTGCCAGGGAAAGGCAGCAGAGCCCCGTGTCCCGGCCAGCCCCGAGCCACAACCCCACCGCAGCCCACAGGGGCTGACGACACCTCTGCTCCCACCCAGCCCAAAGCCCCAGCCGCCCCTGATGCTTTCAGAGATGTCTACATCTTATCCAAAAAGCAATACGACTACAGGAATGTTCTTTCCCAGGATGAAATGATGTAAGTTGGGTTAATTCAAGGAAGCAGCTTGAGTTAAAGCTTGGGACTGAACTCCCTCAGTGTAGTTAGCAGGGCCGAGGTCAAAAGTCCTCTCCTGTCCCTCCCCTCTCCTCCAGCTGGAACAGCACACCACGCTGATGTACATGGAGGTACCCAGTGCATGGGGAGAGGCAAGGCTGCCTTGAACCGCTCAGTAAGTATGACCACATGGCCACCAAGAGTGCCCCGGCCTCCCTGCCAAGAGGAAGATCTTCATAAACCCTGTGCTGCCAGCTCAGAGCAGAGTTATGGCAGTTCTCACCTTGCATCCTTCAGCCATTTCATATGTTAAGCATTCTGTTTGGGGCTATTTAATTCCACATTCAGCTCTACCACCTCCTCTTCAACAATCAGGCCCCATTGTTTCTCCTTTCTCCAAGACCTACCTCAGATCCAAAGCATCTTCTCTATCACCTTCCCCACCCCAGACACAGGCCCTGTATGTGACACTGGAGCCCCACACTCCCAGCTGGTCTCCTCTTCCTGCAGAACACCCTTCATAGAGTCATAGAATAGCTTGAGTTGGAAGGGACCTTTAAAGATCATCTAGTCCAACTCCTCCTGCAATGATCAGGGACATCTTCAACTAGATCAGGTTGCTCAGAGCCTTGGCCAACCTGGCCTTGAATGTTTCCAGGGATGGGGCATCCACAATTGCTCTGCACCCTGTGCCAGTATTTCACCACCCTCATCTTAAAAAAATTCTCCCTTATATCTAGTCTGACTCTACCTTCTTTTAGTTTACAAACATCACCCCTTGTCCTATCACAACAGATCATGCTAAAGGGTCTGTCCCCATCTTTCTTAGAAGCCCTCATTCTTATAAGCCCATCCTTCTGGCAATGATCTGACCACTCATTGCCTTCCCTCCTCTAGCCCCTCCGTTACAAATCTTGGGCTTTAGCTTGGTGGTTTGGGAAGAACCAGCAGAATGAATGACTGGGAGATGCAATCATTGCAACCCTTGGTGAGGAGCAGCAAGAGGAGTCACACCTCTGCCCCCTCCTGCCTTTATCAGCCTCTGGTGTGGAAGGAGAGGAGCAGCAGCCCTGCGGGACCTGCTCTCCCTCCCACTCACCCACACGCTGCAGGTGGGGTTGGCAACCAAACAGACACTTTGCCCACCTGCTCTTCCCCCCAGGGGGGGAATGACAGCCTTGTCTTTAACAAGTACTTTTTAATTTGAGCAATACCTCCCAGAATGTCCAACAACTGCACAAATATTTCATTCTCAGAAGCAAGGACAGACAGGAGCAGTAAATGATGGTTTGGGGGTCTGCTCCACAAGCTCAACCCGCTGCCAGGAAGCAGAGAGTGACTCTGGCCATGTGGAGGTGCCCAGCTGTCCCATCCTTTGCAGGGGGATTCCTTGAAACTCCTTTCCTTTCGCTGGTTAATCCCAGGGTGGAATAGTTCTCTGGCTCAGGAACACTGTCATAACGGCCACTCAGTGCCCAAAAAATGACATCTTTGGGGGTGCGTTGTTCTCCAAAGGTCTGCAAGACCCATCTGAGTGAGGTGTGCTTGGGTTTAGCCCAGGATTGCTGTTCCTGGGGTGCACAATGACATCCCCCCAGCCACGGGAGGTGTATGTAAGGATCGGGAGGCTGGGGAGGCCGGGTTTGAAAGTTTTTTGAGATGACGGACTGCTTTTGAAGGTTTTGGAAGGATTAAGCAGAGCGAAGCAGGCCTGGGTTAAAAAACAAGCAGGGTTAGAAACCTCCACGCATCCCTCCCCTGCATCACCCAGCCCTTCCCTTGGCCTTTGGGGCACTTCTTGGGGAGGGGGGGATTCCCACCCCCGAAAATAAATTTTAAAAAACCAAACCACTAATAAAAAGAAAAAGGGTTTGTGGAGAGCCGTGCTCCGGGGAGCGGCTCCAAGGACCGCGCCCGCCCCCGCCCCGGCCGTGGGGGGGGGCGGTCCCGGTGCTCACGCGGGTCCCCGCAGCCCGTCGTTGGGGCGGCGGCGGCGGCGGGAGGCGGCGGGTCCCCCCCCGAGCTGGCGGTAAGTGCCCGCCCCCGGAGCCGACCCCCGCGACCGGCCGGAGCCTCCCCGGGACCCCCCGTCCCGTAGCCGCGCTCACGGCTGCAGCCTGGCAGCGGCGATGGCAATTCGGTTCTTTCTCATCTTCGCTGGCGAACCCCGCTCAGCCCTTCGCTGCTCCCCCGGCCATCTCTGTCGCTGGACCGAGGGTGAAAAAAGGGAAAAGGGCCGTCCCCTTCCCCCCTCTCCCTGCGCCACCCAAAGTTTCTTTTCCTGCCGTGTGGAAATAGCTGGACTTCACCACGGCACGGCTCGGCACTTCTCCCCGGGTCGGGCATGTAAACAGAAGTGTAAAAATGCGAGCATAAAGCTGCCGTTTAGTGTTTGCCAATGCACTGCGTCCGCAGTCTGCCTCTTCCTGCAATAGCATTTCAGTCTGTTTAACGAATCGGGGATTTGCCTCTGAGGGAGCTGAGATTTATCTTCTTTTTTTTCCCCATCCAAAAGTAACAGCAGCATCTGTATCATACAGATGTGGTGTTGGGGGATATGGTGTAGGGGAAAACTCTGTAGAGTAGGGTAGACGGCTGGACTCGATGATCCCAAGGGTCTTTTCCAACCTGAATGATTCTATGATTCTATGATTCTTCTATCTGGTGACGAGGCCAAAAGTCACCAGCTTCTTTCGTCTTAGCTGGGCTTTGGAAATCGTGAGCTGCTTGTCAGGTAAACGCTGCTCCGTGCAGATACACAGAATCCATCAGACTAAAGTAATAAATTTAAAAATAGAAACTAATATTTAGGACCCGGGAACTTTCTGCTTTGCCTGCCCCAGGCAGATACACTCTTTAGAAGTGTATCACGTCCATTGCCAAACTGCTTGTCCATGGGGTACGGATAACTTTAATAGAAAATTATTTTGCCATTAGGAAATTTGGCAGGGTTCAGTATGAGAAACCTTTTTTTTTTCTTTTTTTAAAGAAGTTGTAAAGAAAAGCCTCAAAGAAAGTAAGATTTGGAAACTGGAAAAAAAAAAAAATCTTCTATTGCCATATTTTTTTCCTTGCCCTTTTAACTCCACACCCTCCTGCAGTACGAACATGAGCTCAGTCCAGCACCGCTTTCTCCCCCAAATGACTCTCCTAAAGGAGCGGTCCTCCTGGCCTCCCCCGTTTATCTTTACTTACAGCAGTGGAGGCTGCTGTTGCCCATTTTCCCTCTGTCTCCACATCTGAATATCGTGACTGGATCTTTCAAAATAATAATTATATTGCTCGTGAATTTTCCTGTGCGTAAAGTAGTATTTTAGCTCTGTTCTGAAGTGATGTATGTTCTGGGTAATCCCATATTGGAAAGGCAACAGAGCTGCCCCCAGCTACAATAATCAGTAGAGCGAGATTATACCATGGCAGTAGATACTGGTGGACTAATGACAAGAGGCAAACCAGAAAGGACAAAGAATTTAAGATGTGGCCCCCGAGGTGTCGTAGGGGGTCACTGTGCCCAGCTCCCTGCTGCAGACCTCCTCCTCTGGCAGAAATGATGGTGAGGAACAACTTTGCATCACCACAGCTGCGCTGGGTTGTGGTCACACTCGGTGCAAACCCGGGGTGGGAGCACTGTCACGCCTTGCAGCTCAGAAGTGTCCATTAGGACCCTCAAAATTCAGCCCAAAGCAGGCATGTGGGGCCTCAGTCACCCAGTGTGGCCATGTGGGTGCAGCACACAGCTATGCCACCCAGGAGGTGACGGTGATGCTGAGCATCTCGTGTGTCTCCTTGTCCACCTTTTGCTGGTGCCTCTTGTTTGGGAAGGAAGTTCACATCTCGGCTTGCACTCAGACAGGTTGTTTGAAATACAGCAAAGAATTACCAGTGTTTTTCAAAGATATAAAAGACATACAAAGGAAGTCTTAGATGTCTTCAGGACAAACTTGAAGCTCTTCTTGGTTGCACTTTCTTTCCCTGAACCTTAGGTGGCCATGGTCCCGTTGAGCCAGCAGTCGTAGGCTTACCGACCGTTCTGACTCCTTGAGGCCTACAAAGTCCCTGGCCTGAGAGGAGGAGGGAGGAAACTGTTCACAGCACTGAATTTTGCTTGTTTACTGGATGCAATTTAGTCTTTGAGGTCGTTGTGCAAACTGCAGTCCCACCCTTCCCAGGAGGCCAGTGGAGGAGGTTTCTGGAAAGCGATACCAGCTTTGTTGCATCACTGCTTCCTTGCTAGAAATTTTGAGGGCAATTTCTCTCAGTCTTGCCAGCTTCTCAGCCAGTCATTTGTAATTTCTCCCTCATGGTGGAAACTTCCTTGCTTTGCCCTGTTCAGCGGTGCAATCTGGGGAAGAGGAAAAGAAGTTTCAGGGAAGAAAGGGTGGGGAAAGATGAGGGAGGTGGAGGAAAGGCAATGAGGAGATATTATGGTAGAAAAGTCTGATGAGAAATAGCCTGTGGAGGAGCAGATTCTGGCCCGTGGGAGGAGAAGAGAGGTTTGCCACTGGCTAGAAGAGAGTGGTTGCCTCCAAACAGGACTCGGCTCTCTGCTGTCGTGGCTGGGTTCCTCCTGGGTGTGATGTGCCCCAGCGTTGTGCTTTTCCCCCAAACCCCGATGCACGTGGTCATCCAGCAGCAAGCTGGCAGTGCTGACGGGAGGTCAGGCCAGGTGGCAAGGGCTGGTGGAGAGGGATGTGGCTGCATTTAAAGGCTTGAGCCACCTCTGTTGCCTTCACGTATTGCTTGGGAGCAAGAAGGGGCAAAGCACATCACAGCAACAGGCTGGGAACCAAATCCTGATGGGGAACCTGAACCCACCTTGGAGGAGACCCCAATACCTCCTCATCAGCATCAAACATCCATTTTCAGGTTTGCCCTCAGTTCTCTCTGGTTGTACATGCTTTTTCCTCGTTTCTTGGCTCAACCCAGAAAAGGTATTTGTGGTTTTGCAGACGTTGCCACGGCACGGAGCTGGGTGGCAGCTCTCGGTGGAAACCAGGGGAGAGGCTGCAGCCACAGGCATTTCCCCGTTGGTTTCCTGAAATGGAAGGATCACACAGAGATGTTAGGGTCTTGCTTTCAACAGCCTTTTCCAGGGCGCCGTCACTCCTCCTGACCGTAGACGGGGTGTGATTGCAGAGAGCCCATCTCCCTGGCCACAGCGCGGGAATCACACAGGTAGAGGGTGTACTAACTGTCTTCTAGAGGGACTGTCATACACTCTCAAAACACCCAGGTCTTCAAAGCTTTGCCTCATTATTTTTTTCCAGCCAGATAGAGGTTCTTTCTGCAGATCGATGTGGCGCAGCGTCATCTCGTGGCTGGCTGGTCCCAGCTGCAAACACATAGGGGTCCTGTGGGGACATTTCATGTCACGCCCCATTAGTTTCTTGCAGGAATTCAGATAGGTTTGTTTTTCTACTCTTGATAAAATATGCTTCCCCCAAACAGAAATTTGACCTTTCGAATTCAGTGCTGTTAGCAATTTATTTCAGCATTTTCTTCCTGGTTGTATTAATGGTCAAAAATGAATCAAGATGTTCTCCCACAGTGGTGCAGGGAGCCACGCTCCACTGGCCAGGGTGACTTCAGAAAAGGTCTTTTGCAGCTGAACACCTGGGATTCCATGAACTCCAAACTCAGGCTAGGGAAGCGGTTAAGGGAAAATACAAAGTCAGATTATTTCAATTCTGCAGTTCATTTCCAGGTGTGGATCTGGCAGTTGCTGAGCAAAAGGTCCCCATCTCACTTTATTTTCCTCAGCTTCTTAAAAGCACTTGAAACCTCACCAGGGCTCAGTGAGCAGTGAGCTGTGCTGTCCCCTCCGCCAGTGTCACCCGCCCAGCACAGCTGTGCTGCAGCTGGACTCGGAAAACTGCTGACTAGGTGGTTTTTTCCCCCAATACCACTCAGAAGAGCACGGGTTGCTTTTGCCCTGAAACCAGTTCCTGACCTCAAAAACGCAGCCGGGGGCATGTGCAGAGCAGCTGGGAGCTGGCGTTTCAGTTGGCAGGAGAGGAAGAGTGTGGGAAGTCCCCGCATCCCTGCCCACTTCCCATCCACAGCCTGCTCCTCACTCTGGCCAGAGGATGCTGCTGCAGACCAGGACAAGGCTGGGAGTGCTTTGCCTGGCACGCAGCTGGGGTTACACATCCCCTTTGGTACCTACTGACGCATTAGGTAAGCTGGATTGTTTGGGGTTTGTTTTTTTTTCCCCCAGTGATAACCCTGGATGTGGGTTCAGGAGAGGCTGTTTTTGGCAGGGGTGCCTGGCTTAGCCACCCACATCATCTGCTGGCGTCGCTGGAGGGTGCTGCCCTTCTGCTGTACCAGCTCTGCTGCAAACTGCATCTGACACACACACTCCGGCTGACATCTCCCCCCCACCAAATCCCAGGGGGGAAATTTCATTTCAGCTCAGCTCAGCTCCCTTGGTCCAGTTGACGGGTGTTTGGGAAGAGGAATTTGGGAGCAGCAGAGGCAGGGATGGAGGAGGCACTAGCTTACATCCTGCAGAAGAGCCTAGCTATGAAACCACAGCCAGGGACCAGCACTGGCAGGGGACCGTGCTGCTCTCGAGTAGATATTTTAGGTGGCTCAGTCGCTCCCTAGGCTCCCCTGTATGTGATGGGATCACTCAGGGTCTATATCTCTACTCTACTGTATCTCAGGGCTATATCTGTCCTGGTAAAGTAATACCATAGCAGCTGCCTGGCATCAGACCATGATGGTCTGCCCCGCTGAGCTGGCATGGTTTTGGCCAGAACCAATTTGCAGTCTCCACAGCAATGCTTGGGCATGGCTCAGGGGTCAGCACAGGGACCATCCCCCAAGAGGCAGCTTGAATTTTGTCACCCGGTTTTGGAGACGATGTGATGTTAATAGTCCGGGCTGTAGTGGAGTGGTTTCATGGTGGCCTGGGGCCAGCTCAGAGCCCCTGGAGGCACACAGCTCCTCGAGGTCGCCCCGTGAATCCCAGGGGAAGATGTTCTCACTCATCTCACCCACAGCCGCTGGAGCTGACAGAGGGAGAAGGAAGGGCTGGCAGGACTGGTGAGGAACATCAGCCACAGCTTGCAGAGGGTTGGGGGGAGCGGAAAGCTGCACCCCGGGAGTGCTGGTTGATGGATGCAGCAGAGAGAAGTAGCTCCTGCTTCCAGCTCTTCACTCCACCTTGCTGCCAGGAGCCACTGCCCTAAGATAAAGGATGGCTGATGTGTGTGTGCAACAGCTGTCAAAACACTGCACCTCACATCTCGATACGTTAAACCCAAGTACATGCTGGCTGAGCTTAGCATCCAAGCCTTAAAACGTGGTGGAGGTGACAACGTGGGGGTTTGTAGCATGGCAGACCCAGCACGAGTTGCCTAGACTGGGCGCAGGGTGGAAAACAAGGAGGCATGCCGCGGTCTGGATGAGTAATAAAAAGATGACTGCAAGCTGCAGAAAGGAAAAGCTGACTTCATTTATCTCTTAACAGGGCACAGGCCAACCAGGCCAGCAATTACCCACTTAGCTGCAGGATAGGAACCCCTAATATTAAGGTGTCGTGACGTGCGCATCATCTTAACCCACATAAAGGCCTAATACTAATTATCTGCTGAATGTGCAACACCTACACGACAGCAACCCGGCGCAGGCTGGGTGGGGTTGGTTTTTTATTATGTCTCAGAGGCTGTGACAGCCCCTGCTCCTCACCCTGCCCGGCGCTCGGTGTCACCAGGACATCGCTGAGCCCCGCATCCCTCTCCCGAGTGAACCGGGAGCAGCTCCCAAAGCAGGGGGGCTCTGACAGCAATGGAGAGGGAGAGGATGGAGGTGCCTTCTGTTTGTCACTCCCTCCCCGCCCCGAGTTTCTCCTGATGCCTGGGATGAAATGCAGGTAGAGATCTACCCGCGCCGATGCCCAGCGCTCTTGGGAAATGAGTGCTGCCGCTGACGGATCCCTTGGAGAAGGTGGGAGCTGATTTTGCACAGAGAAACAGATTTTGCCAGCCAAAGCCGCTCTGTCCTGATGACTAATTAATTCTGTCTTCCACCCACACAACACGTACAGCTCGTAAGACGGAGGAGTCAGCCGCAACGGAAGAAAAGAAGACGACCTACTGTACAATTCCAACCCCTCCCTAAACTGATCCAAACCCATCCTTTGCCCAGCAGTGATGGGAGCTGGGTGCTCGCTGTGGGACAAGCAGCATCAAAGCACTCCTGGAGAACTGTATTCCCCTTTGTGCTGGGGGTGAATGGTGTTCTTTGCCTGGTGTAAGACAACTGGGGTGGCAGCAGTAGCCTGGTGGGTGATGGTGAGACCGAGGGGCTGCATTGTGGGGTGTGCTCCCGGGAGGTGTCAGTCCTCAGTGCTCAGCATGGCATGTCCAAAAGGATGCTAAATAACCAGGAGGGAACTGTCAGCCCTCACCATCAGCTTTCTCACACAGCCTCATCTCTGCTTGGACCCAGTAGCTGTTTCTAGAACAGTTCAGGCTCTTCCAGAGAAAATAAAGTGCTGCCAAAGAGCAGGGGAAGCTAGCAGAGTGCCTTCTGACAAGTGTCAAAAGATGTTACAAGTCCTTCGTAGAGACTGAGTTTGTCATTTTAAGCAAGCAGCTAGGACATGAAACACCCTTCCCAGCTGCAGAAATGGACTTACCTGGAAGAGGCACTGACCCAATGCCATGAGAGAGGTGTCTTTGCTGCAGCCCCACCTCACCTGCTTAAGTATGGCAGCACAAAGCCCACCTAAGAAGCAGGGAAGAGCTCAACAGTTTGCTGCCAAGCACTTAACTACCTAACGGAGCCTGAGACCACTGTGTTTATACCTCACCTCCTGCCCATCCCCATGTGAAGCAGCTAAGGAAGCACTCTAGTGAAAACATCTCCTCTCATCTTAAAATCAGGTGCCATGCACTAACAGCAGACACCCAGGTGGACACTTCTATCCAGGGGATGGCACGTGAAAGCCTGACCAACTGATGTAAATCAGCACAAGAGTGTGCACAAAGCCATCATCCCTGTTCTGGCGCTGCCTATAGAGGGGCAGCTCCCCCCTGTAGCTCCCACACTGACCAGCACCAGTCCCGGGCACTGCTGGACCTCGAGGCAGCACAGATTTGAGCTATTTCAAGAGCAGATACATGATCTTACTGAGGAATTGCTTGATCTCATCCAGCCCTGCAGAAACACTGCAGATCTATAGGCGATGGCTCTGAACTGCAAGCTTTTCCACACCTCTCCCTGGTTCCTTTGCTTCCCTTCTTTCTTGTACAGAAAAAATGGTTTCTCTTTTCCACACGGATGGAACAACTTTTCATTTCTATTTTCTGGAAGCCAAGTCCTCACTTTTGTTTTTCGGGCTACTTGTTTGACATCTGTTAGTGTCATCACGAAGCTCAGGGTATCTTGTATGAAGGAGGTTCACCAGCTTCAGGACTGCAGCTCAGAAAAAATAACGGCAAGCAAAAACGGGTCTACTTTTGTGCAAAGCCACAGCCTTTGTCCCTGTCCCCCTCCTTTTCCTCTAAGAGTACAGTGAACAAATGGAAAAAGATAAAAGTTATAGTCTTCTCAGTAGCCTCTGGCTGCAGGGCATTCATTTAACTACCGGTCCAGCTGGAAGCTCAGACAGACACGGGGCCCCATCAGCTTCCCATGTTAAATGCCATTAGATTTGGCTTTGGTTGCCCTCCTTGTGTCCCATTGGAAATCTGTGGGCTTCCAGCATAGGGAAGGTGGATATTTTGCTCCAGATGGATACTTACGGGGAAGTGCCTTTGTCAGGTGAAAATCATTGGATCCATGTTGCCATAACTTCCTTCCTTAGCACGTTTTTTATGTGCCCCCTTTGTATACCAAAATGCTGCGTGCTGCTATAAGGTCTCCCCAGAGCCTTCTTTTCTCCAGGCTGAACAACCCCAAGTCTCTCAGCCTGTCTCCATAGGAGGGGTGCTGCAGCACTGACCATTTCCATGGGCCAACCAACAGGTCCATGTCTTTCCTGTGCTGAGGGCTCCAGAGCTGGACACAGTACTGCAGGTGGGGGTCTCACCAGAGCAGAGCGGAGGGGAAGAATCACCTCCCTTGGCTTTAAAGTGTTATAACTGAAATACGTGACCTTTCTTCTTTCCCAGGCTTTGTCAAGTGGAAGCCCACCAGGCCCAGAGAACAACAATGCCGACCATCAGTGAGTACCTTCTGCTTTGATTATGTCTTCAGGGGGAAAAGCAGCTGGAAGAAAGGGAGCATAAAGGGGAAAACTATTCTTGTATTCCTCCTGCTGTGCAAAAGAGAGGTGGGAATGGTGTCACATCATTTATAGCCCCAAATATTCTATCTTCTACCTGTTTGCCAGTTAAAAAGAAATCCTGGAGCTGTGCTGCCTGGAAAGTGTCACGCTCCAGCTCAAGTACAGTATAGAGACTCATTCCTGGTCATGAACAATGCAGGATTTGGTAGGATGTCTGTGTGTCACAGAGGCACCTTGAAGGAGCCTGTGAAAAGCTGGGGAGGATTGCTCCAATGAGTAGCTCAGGCCTTGGTTCACTCAGGGGCTGTGGGCTCATCTGTGGGCTCTGCAGCATGTGGAAAAGGAGGATAGTATCTCTTTGCTCCTTGGGAATCATAAGAGAAAATCCATATGACATTCCCATGCTACAGCAGTTAGAGACATGAGCATCCCTCAGGGACAGGGGAACCATGGGGACCTACTGCTCTGGGAATCAAATCTGAAATCTTCCTTCCACAAGCAAAATCTACCGAGTAGACTGTGCCTCCGAGTCTGCCTGCACCCAGAGCGATGGGAGGAGTTTGATGCATGTGGTAAAGAAACCCGGGTTAAATGAAAAGCTTGAAAAAACATCTTAAAGCACCATCTCCTTATGCCGAAGAGCGACTCTTTCCAAGGTTGAGCTCTCTCTGACTGTCACGCTCTGCTCCTGCAGCACTGGAGAGCAGACTAATCTGCAGATTGGGCTGTGTGACCTACAAACGCCGAGCTGCGTTGGTGGACGTGACATGGGAGACCAGGTGCCATCCTGCCTCCTCCCCTCCCTCCCAGCTGGCAGGGAGCTCGCCTGGCCAGGCTGATGGTCAGAAAACACCGGCTTTCCCCACAACAAGGCTTGTACGGGCACTCGAGAGGACTGTGGGCTCTCCAGCATCCTCTGTGGGCTTTGGGCTGCGATGGCATCTGAGTGGTCTCCTCGGGGGGTGCGTTTCCAGCCCTGCCACAGTCCCCCTCCGACCTCCCCAACCCCAGGCTCTGGCCAGCCCCTCACCCCCTGCCAGGGCTTTCCTTCTCCCTCCTCCTTTGTCACACAAAGGGAAGAGCTGCGACGGCAGAATCTGTTTTCTGATCTGGGATGATGGGGCAGGAGCTGATTTTCCTTTGGCCCGTGTTGGCTCTATGCCCACTGCAGAGCCCCATTGCGCAGCCCACGCGTGAAGTGCCCTCTACCCCCCCGTGATAAGCAGGGCTGCAGTTCCTGCTGGCAAGAACTGCATGCAAGCATTATTTATTTTTTTTTTGGACGTGATCCAGCCTCCAGGAAACACTGCACTTTGAAGAAATCAAATCCAGCCCCAGAAACAGGGGTTAATGCGTGTAGGCATCTCACCCTTCACACTTCTGCAACTAGAATTATTCCAGATAAACATTCACCTTACAAGCAGCAAAAATCAACCTTGTGTTGATAGAGCTGCTGACTGAAGAAATTCCTGTAAAGCCAATTAAAGAAGAAATAAAAGTCAGGTAGGGAGAAAAAAAAAAACTAGATATGGAGACAATGCTATCTGGCAAGAGAACAGTCACGCGAGAGAGATGCTGTAGGTGGGCAACTCCCTTACTGCAAATATTCCTGTGATACCACATAAGGATCTACACCAGGCCCTAATAAATAGCTTTGATGGGCATGGGAACACAGAAGACGTATTCCTGCCCATGCTGTGTTCCCTCTCTTTCCCCCTGCAACTCTTTCATGGGCTGGTCTCTAGCGTCTGGCTGTGCACGGGTGGGATGACACAGCCCAGGAACACTGTCACGATCATATAACCTCTGCCAAGGCTCATGTCACCAGCAGAGCTAACGGGGTGTTGTTTTGACCCATTTTTTCAGCTGCAAGGTCTTGCAGAAGGCATTTTAATGATTAACCCTGGACTTTCCCATCCTCAGCAAAACGATAATAAACACTGGCCTAGATTCACCCCAACCCAATTTTTCAGCCACATGACTCACATTTCTACCTAGGAGGTTGTCAGCCTAGCCACCCCTCAGGGCTCTGGTCACCAGGGCCCGCAGGCAGCTCTCCCCCATGCCAGGCAGCTGCTGGACACCAGGGACGTGGTGCTGCCAGCCATCCCCACTGCTGGGGAGGTGGGCACACGGCCCCGATGTCTTGCTCAAAGGTGTTTTTTGCTCACTTCTGGTCTAATTTTGCCCTTTGCATTTCTGTCTCCTTATTGCATAGTTCATTATCTTTCCATTAAAAAAAAAAAATAAATCAAAATTCCTCCTTCCCTTACTAATCTTTAAACACAGAGAGGCTTTTAGCTGAAATAGAGCCCAATTCTTGCTTTCCTCTCTCCTAAATTTCTTCGCTCTAGCCACTTAAATCCCTTTTATTTCTGCTTTCTAAACTCTCTTCAAGCTGTTAATAACTTTTTAGTAATGAGATACCCAGAAGTCTGCACAGGGATCTTGATGGAGTTGCAATGGCCTTTTTTTTTCTCCCTCGTTGCTGTCCTGCCATGTTGCAGACTCCCCTCTCATACACTTCTCAACAAGCTCTTTCCCTCTCAGCATCGCTCCTTTCCAGGTTCCTCCCTCCCTCAGAACATCTGAGGTTTGAAAATTTTTCCCCTCTAAGGTACTGACCTGTTATTTTCCGGATTGGAAAGTCTAATATCCCTCTCAGCTGGATGCAACGTGATCACAAGCCCTGTTCCACAGCCCTGGTGGCACGTTGATGAGGGCAGCAAGGGGCCTCCTCTCCTGCTGGAGCAGCTGGAGGAGCACAGGAGCAGGTTCAGTGGTCCACCAGGTCCTGCACTGCCCACATCCTGCACTCGGGATTTCCCCGCTGCAGCCTCTCACTTAATTCCAGGACCAGCAGAAACAGCTGCACCACCATGCCTTTGAGATCAAGGTTCAGGTGGGGTGGGTCTCAGGAGGTCTCTGGTCCAGCCTCCTGCTCCAAGCTGGATCAGCTGTGAGGTCCCAGCAGAACTCTCCAGGCTTTGTCCCACCACATCTTGAAAGCCTCCGAGGATGGAGCCTGTGCCACCACAGCCTGTTCCTCTGCTTGCTGTCCTGAGGGTGCAGAAGTTTCTCCTTTAATCCAGATTGAACTTCTCATTTTTTAACTTATTTCAGATTTTTCCATATTAAATTATAGAGAACTTTGCCACAAAACCAGAGAGAAAGAACATGAGCATCAACTTGCTTTTCCTTTGCTCTTTAAATAAACCCAGCCCCCTCCGTTCCTCTCAGTCCTGGGATGAACACGGTAAGGGGAGTTTGCTTTTGTCTTTTTAAAAGCGCATCAATGTTTTAATGAGTTCTGACTCTACCTGGAGTTTTTCTCCCATGCTTGGAGGTCACCATGCAAGCCAAAGCATCAAAAATAATTAACAGTGGGAAATTATGTAAGGTCTAAGAGAAACAATGCCCCTTCTGTAGGCCTGCAAGCACGCTGCCAAGAGCGCTGCCTCCAATTCATCATGTAATACAAAATTAGTTTAAGGATTGTCACCGTGCAGAGTTTAAATCAATAAATCATGTGTTTAAGTCTGATTTTTGCGTTTCCTTTTCCCAGTTCTCGCTTTGTAGCTGCTGGTGTATGGTTTGAGCTCTTTGACTTTTAGCTTTCTCCCCAGCTCTCACCTACTGTGGTGGGGGTCTGATGGTCTGCAGCCCCACAGGAGGAGGAGGAAAATGAATGAAAGGACTAAGCAGAAGAACCCACTTGCTAAACCCTACTTGCTGCCCACTTGCTGCCAGTAGAACTTGCCATCAAGGGCACGGTGAGGCATCAACAAGTATAGGACACCCCTAGGAGCCAGCTGCCACACCAGCTGGACATCAGGTGGCTCCAGGAAAAACACCAAACTATTTCTGAGGCAGAGGGAGGCACAGCGCTAACGCAGCGAGTCAGAGCAGCTGATCTAAAGCCTTTCTGACCTGAACAGATAAGAACAGAGGAAGGGTGTCATTGCTGCCGTTTGCTCGAGGAGCCAGGACACTGGCTGCTGCCCGCTTGAGGAATGTGGCAGATGCTCTCTCGCCCAAGGAGAGCAGTTGATGAAAGCACCTTCTCTAGGTGACAAAGTTGCCTTAGAAAAAAGGCGTTTCAGGGCTCTTTTCTTCCATTCTGATTCTACATGTAATTGTCTGCATCGGGGTAGCTCCTGTGATTTCACCTAACAAATAGGTCCCTGGTTTTCTCACAAAAGGATGCTAAATCACCAAATTCATCCCAGCTGCAAGACAAAGGGTGCGATAGATCTTATCTTTAGAGAAATGCTAAGTCAATACCTGCTACACAACTCTGGGACAGATTTGGAGCCACACTATTGGGTATGAAAATCTCTCCTCTTTGGCAACCAACCAACTGCCATACAAAACCTTTTTTTTTTTCTTGCTTGTTCTCCACCAATGGATGGTCATGAAGTAAGCCCACCAGTCTTGGTTGACGTGGCATGGCATTTTACAGTTTGGATTTACCAATTCAAGCATCCACTTAGCTCTGCAGCTCACCATGACCTCCATTTCATGGAGCTACATGCCCCAGCTTCCAGAGATGACTATCCTGACAGCCCAGCTTGCTCACCTCCTAGTTCTCTACAAGGTCAAGGAGGAGCACTTGCATGTCAGCTGCCGTCTCCTCTCTTGAGTCCTAGAGGGCAAGACCAAGTAAACTTATTTAGTAGTGTGAGCAACAGTGGTCAAAGCTTGCAGAAGACTTTTCACTCTTCTCCCTCTGGCAGGTAGGGACAGATTTCCCTTGTACCCAACATAAACCACCTCTGATAATGCCAATAAAAGCCATACTAGTTCCTTTTGAATCGTACATCAGTTCCCACTCATAGGAGAGTTGTGCTGAATAATGTGAAAATAAATAAAAGCCTAAGAGCAGTTTGAGGTAGCTGTGCCTATATTTGGGTTGAAACTCAAGTCCCTTACTAACAAAAAATCTCTTTCTGCATAAAATCTTAGAACTAGTAACTAGCATAAAGGTCATACAGTCCTTTAGCTGGGCCTCGAAGCTAAGTCACCAAAAAGTTCCGGGAGTTTTTCACTGTGAGGGTGGTGAGGCACTGGAACAGGTTGCCCAGAGAAGCTGTGGCTGCCCCATCCCTGGAGGTGTTCAAGGCCAGGCTGGATGGCGCTTTGAGCAACCTGGTGTGGTGGGAGGTGTCCCTGCCCAGGGCAGCAGGGGTGGGAACTAGGGGATCTTTAAGGTCCCTTCCAACCCAACCCATTCTGTGGTTCTGTGATCTGGAGCATTGTAAGGGCTGTACTGCAATGAACTCGCAGACTAAAATAGATGCCAAGTGATAGCAAATGTCAGCAAGCGGTGTGCCTGTGGGGTATGGGAACTAGACGTGACACAGTATCTGTGTCTCAGCAAGCCACGTGCAGCTCGATCTTTCCATTCACAAAAAAACCAGAAAGGTCATCTTATGCCTTTCAGAGCTTGATTCTCTCTCATAACGCTAATAATTCGTTCCCTTCCCTGGCAGGTGCCCACAAAGCAACAGCAAGAAGCCGTCGGGACAGTCCACGATATCCTATGATTACTCGGAGGAGGAGCTCATGGCAAGCATCGAGCGGGAGTACTGCCGCTGAACCCAGCCCCGCGCCACCAGAACTTCCAGCACGTTCCTGGAAACCCAGCTGGAGAAAAACTGCTGCTGACAAAATAACCCCTGGCACAGCAAGAGGGCACGGGAGAGGTGGGTGGCGAGGGGAGGTGGAGCGTGAGAGGCAGCATGGTGGCTTGGGAAGCACGGGGGAGAAAGCCCTCCTGACCAGCTCTGAGTGAGAGCATGAAGATCCTCACCAACTGCGGGTTTCTGATTGGTGCTACTGGAAGAGGGACCAGTTCATCTCCTGAATCAATATTTGGAGCTCGTTTCTAAATGGTATTTACAAATGAAGACATTCTGGAATTGAAGTATCATACTAGAAGCATCGAGACGTGGTGCTTTGAAGGAAGATCTTGTTTTGTCTTAGCAGAAGAAAAATGCAGCAATGTCATTTGATTCAGGTCTCACTTAAGGGGTTGTTGCATGAAATTTGTGTTCCTGCCACTTAAACCAGGCCAAATTTACTCCTTGCGCTGTGTAGGCCTCAGGTCCAGGTCTGAATTGGGCACTGTCTCTTTGTCCCCAGTATGGGCTGTAAGGTGAAAAGTGGAGTGAGTCTACCACCCAGTCCATGGGCAGTGTAACCCCAGAGGTCACAGCCCATCACAGAGCTGAACGAGGCTCCTGGGACCCATCAGGGAGCACAGGGTTTGTACAATCGCTTCGGGGTGGGACCCTGGCATCGGTGTCCTACCTGTGGCTCCTTGGCGTGGATCCTCCAGCAAAACTCAAGGAGGCACGTCCCCGGTGCTGCCTTGCTGTGGCCAGTGATCATCCATTTTGAGAGAGACTTATGTGCTATTTGTAGAGGAGCTGTTGGCAATCAGTTTTCAGAGTTACACTCCTGGCCTTCCCACGTATCTGTTGTCCTCGCTGAGTAACCCAGAAGAAAAATCACTTGTGTTTTACCACTAGCTGACTGCAAAGTAAAACAGAAAGTCAACTCTCCAAAGAAAACCATATATTTTCAGTGCTCCCAGACAGGGAAACCTGGTAGTTTAGGGTTTCTGCTTTTATTTTACCTGCATCTTAACGTATTATGAGTAGCTGCTTATTATCAGAAGTAGAAAAATACCTTATTTCTGCCTTCAGCTGTAGCATAAAAGACATCAGATAAAACCTTCACAAAGCCTGTGTAAATGCAAGAGGAAACAGCAGGACACATCTTAAGATGCTGTATTTTAACTTCTTTGTAATTCCTGGTATCTGTGAATCAGAAATAAATGCATCTGTACTCTATGTAGCCCTCAGAAAAGGCATCAAGTGTTGTTTGGAAAAAGGCTCTCTAGCTTACATGGAGAATCATCTTACGGTGCCTGCAGAGACAAAGCAAAACACATCCTTGGAGGATGGCAGGAGGGGATGCTGTGAGGCAGACACTAGATTGCACCCATGGCACATGTACTCACGCTCCAGTGGTCTTTTCTGCAGCAGCCTTCAGTGAGGGTGGCCATCACACACTGCCTGAGGGCTTGGGAGCTGCCAGGCAGCCACAGAGGTGGGCAGCAGAAAGGGAGACAACCTCCTGCAAAGCTACACAGGCTTGGAGGCAAGAGCTCCCAGCAGGCCAGCTTTGGTAGGACAAGGGGTGATGATTTTAAACTGAAAGAGGGTAGAGTTAGGTTGGACACAGGGCAGAAATTCTTTCCTGTGAGGGTGGTGAGGCATTGGAACAGGATGCCCAGAGAAGCTGTGGATGCCCCATCCCTGGAGGTGTTCAAGACCAGGTTGAATGGAGCTTTGAGCAACCTGATATAGTGGAAGATAGCCCTGCCCATAGCAGGGGAGGGTGGAACTAGGTGATCTCCAAGGCAAGCCATTCTATGATTCTGTGATACCTCGATGGCCCAGAAGTAGCCACAGTAGAGAGCAGCTGTCCTTGCATAGCTTGGGGGAAGTCGGGTGGGCCCTCTGGAGCAAGGACTCTCCAATCCTCCTGAAAAATTCTAATTTTGAATGATAGCACTTTATTTTTTGGCAGGACCAGCCATTTTTAGACCTATTAATGCTGCTGAGCTGCGGCAGGAACAGTTTCTCTGCAGCATGTCAAGTATCAGCAGCCAGACCTCCCAGAGCTTGTATCAGTTTTCAGCAGCTCTCAAAGACCTACTGGGGTGAGCAGAATGTGCCTGTGGAGAGCAGAAAAAACACGGGAGGCCTGCTGACTCCAGCACCATAGGTGACCACAGTACTTCATATGCTTGTTTTAATCACCCTTCAATTTAGATTTCATTCTTTCAATCAGGACCTTCCTTCCACTGAGGTCCCCAGAGTCCCTGGCCTGCATAGGGAGATGCTTTGAGGAGCTCAGTCACAGCTCCCCCATCACGAGGGCAGGATCCTTTTTGGGCGGCCTCCAGTGACACAGTGGGCCAGAAAAAAAGCCACATTGCTGTCAGACCATGCTGCAGCACGATCAGACAAAGCGCCACAGGGGCTGCCCCCACATCGGGCAGAGCCAACAGCTCCATCCCGTAGTGTGGCACCAGCAGGGACCAGGTCTCTGCCACCCCCCCAGGGTCCCCCTTCCCACGCCCTGCCACCCCTCGCACAGCTTCTCTCTCTGAGGCTGCCTTTGGTGGCTGACCAAGGTAACAGCTCCACAACCCATTCCAGGCTCTCCTAGACAAAAGCCTAAGTTTTAACAATTTTGCAGAGGGTTGGGGTTGTTCAGCCTGGAGAAGAGAAGGCTCCGGGGAGACCTTATAGCTCCTTCCAGTAGCTACAGGGGGCCTACAGGAAAGATGGGGAGGGACTCTCTATCACGGAGTGCAGCAATAGGACGAGGGGTACAGTTTTAAACTGAAAGAGGAGAAATTTAGGTTAGGTATCAGATTAGAAATCCTTTCCTGTGAGTGTGGTGAGACACTGGAAGAGGTTGCCCAGAGAAGCTGTGGCTGCCCCATCCCTGGAGGTGTCCAAGGCCAGGCTGGATGGGGCTTTGAGCAACCTGCTCTGGTGGGAGGTGTCCTTGCCCAGGGCAGGGGGGTTGGAATTAGGTGATCTTTAAGGCCCCTTCCAATCTCAACCATTCTATGATTCTGTGACTAATTAAAAAAAAAAATCTGAACTGAATATATTCTTGATCTCTTTTGCCTGGACACAGCAAAAAATTTTCTTACAAAATTAGCTTATCAAATAGCAAAGGGACAAGTACGTTTCTGTACCTGGAATAAATGTGCAATGGGTTTCACAGGTAACCTTTCCAGCGTCATCAAGAGAAAAGGAGGAGCCACAGGAACGTCCAGAAGGGAGTCATGCAATTGGGACAGTCGCTGCACCAGGGAAAAGGTGGGAGAAAGAAGTTTTGGGATGCAAGGAGAGGCCTCAAACTCTGCCATGGTCTTGCAGGTTTTCTCTGTGCTGTGCTCTGACCATGGAGCCAGACCAGCTCACAACCATCTCTGAGTCTCATACCATGCAGAAGAGGGTGGTGGTACCCAGCCAGCTCCCCAGTCTGCCCAGGCATCCTCAAGGACTGTGCTCCTCCACCCATGTCAAACCTGCACCCAGCAGCACCCTAAAAATAGCAGGGGGTGGCAGTGGGGTTGGTACCTGGGAAGGCACAGCTGCACAGTTCAACTGCCTGGCCCCAGTGTCACCCTCCTTTAGATCCATCCTTTGCTCAGGGAAAGTAGGGCACTAGATCATTTGCAGGCAAATAATCATATTTAATAAGTACCTGAGGCCATGACTGATTTTAAGAGACACTCCTTGAATTAATTGCTCTTTAGTAAAAAAGGACAATTGCCCTATGGAGGTCACTTTGCCGCATCTCAGGCAGAGAATGCTGACATCCCACTGGCTGAATTATCAGAAAGTTTATTTTCTTTTCATTGCACTCCTGTATAACCATCATCAAATCACAACCACTTATAAAACAAAAAATTATTTGGCTTTCCAATACTTCCTAAAACAGTTCTGCTGGATTTGAGTAGTGTTCTGGAAAGTCTTTCATTCATCATTTAGAAACTACCCTCCTCTGCAATACACACAGTGTAAGACAGGGTACCTGAGCGTGGGTTTTGAGCTAACACTATTAATCCCCATTAATAAAACAGCAAAAGGCCATGTATATTAACCACATTACCACATTATTCATCTAACGATGACAAATATTACACACTGTTTTGCACCAGTCTGAAGAGGAGAGCTGGCTGCCTACACATAACTTCTATTACTTTTCAAGTGAGGTAGAAGCACAGTTGCTGAGAAGACCGGAGAGGGTCATTTTTTCAGCTAATGGATGAAGAGCTATCAACACTTCTGAGCTTAGCGACTTCCACGGCTTCAGGAGGTTTCTTACCTGGGCATGCAACGAGATGCCAGCTGAAAGGTTCTGGTGGTGAAAGCATTAAAGCCATATTTTTTTAAATTACTCAACCTAAGATCTAAAAAAATGCAATGAACCTGAAACTACAGAACCAGTTCACACACTTACTCAGACTCTCTGTTTCACTCAAATCTGCGTTTTTCATGTGCAAACAAATGCTTTGGATCCTTTTTTTCCCCTTTTCTTTCTGACAGCGCTGCAGTGGGTGCTGCTGCTTTTTGCAGAGCTCTGCCTTTTCAGTAGCCCGGTAAGTGGTCAGAACTCCTTCCCAAAGAGCAACGAAGAGAACAGATCAGTGACGGAGTAGTTTTAGGAAGAGTGCTGTCTTTTACCTGGTGTGTAGCCATCTGGTGAAACCTCTACAAGCTTCAAGAATTCAGTCGGGAGCCGTAGGTAGACTTGAGTGGGGGAAACAAAGCTGTGACTTGATCCGAGCTTGGGCGAGAAGGCTGGGAAGAACGAAGAAGAGCAGCCAGTCACCATAACACAGCTACCCAGAAGGTTTTTATAGTCCACCTCTGCCTCTAGGACTCTGAATGCTGGTCCTTTTGCTCAGCATATGCGAGGCTGGTCCCAAATGCATTATCTACCAGCATCCCATTGCCAAGACCTCTGAGAGCAGAGCAGCTAATAGTTCCCTGACACACGATGTTCAGTGCCCTGCTGTCATCTACTTGCCTTCACAATACTAGAGGAGAAAGGAGGGTGGCACCACCCCAGGGATGCTCTTCCCCAACCTCCTTCCTTGGAGGATCAAACCCCAAGCTTTCAGCCAAACTAGTCCCCCACACACACACATCCCTGGGAGCTGAAACAGAGCCATTGTCCCAGAGGAGGTGCAGCCCTGGAGTTGTGCCACACAAGCATGGCAGAGCCCCCCACCACACTTGGTGGAGGTGGAGCAACCACAACCACCTGTAGAGGTGGCATCCACAACAGGGTGGGGGTTTTACACACACACACACACTCTGGACACGGCAATTATTTGCACAGGGTGAAGTGGGTTTATCTGGACAATGATAACCAACAGAAAAGAAACGGCTCTGAACTCAAGAGGCACTGCAAGGGAGAAAGTCAAACCTAAGGTATTCCCCCTATCTAGGAAAAACTCCCCCAGGAAAGGGTATGGTCCAGCTTCCTTGAGTTTCCTGCATGTAGACGATGTGCCCATGGCCTCCTGCACACATCAGGATGTGTCTCACCCCATCTCCTACATGCGAGGACTGAGGCAGAAAACGAGGAAGGCTGCATTTGAGAGAGGATGAAAGTGATCTGGAAAGAAAATGCCTGGGTGCTAACACACCTGCTGTGGGGAAGGTAACCCCACTGACTGCACAGACTGCGAGCAGACGTGTCTGAGGCTTTGGGGCTTCCTTCTGATCCGTCTCCCTGTTTCCTTAGTCTGTAGGTTGCCAGGTTCCGAGTCACGATTCACTCCTTCTGCACACATGGGAGAAGTTTGCCTTTTCCTGGCCATAGCCCGCCTCAAGCCACAGGATCCAAACAGAAGGTTAACGGGCAGTTGGGCTTCCAGATTAAACTTCAAAACCAGTTAGAAGATTTATCCCAGCAGATGAACTCAAGCCAGATGCAGTCCCGAGGCAGGACTCGGCTCACAAGATGTGACAGATGAAGTGCCACCTTCATCATTCACAGGACGTTGAGCACAGGCAGCTTTCACAGCTGGAAACAGCAAGCCAGCCAGAGCTGGAGCCTAAAGCCAGAGGAGCACACCGAGCGTGGGACCACCTCTGCCCACCCAGCTCCAGAACGGATCCACGCTCCCAGTATCCTAACCACAAGCCGACCAGAGCTCACCAGTTTGTGAGCAGGACAAGGCAAGCTGCTGCTGCGTTGAAGATTTGGCTGTATAACCACAGGAGCAACGACAGTCTAATGGCAAAATTCAGCATTAAACCAAAGGGCGCGTTTGAGCACACGTGCATTTTTTCTTTAGAAAATTCCTGTTTTTCATGGATTTCAAATGGCTGCACGGTGCCGGTGTCAGCACAGCAAAGCTCCCTCACGAGCAAGCCGTTTTCTCTCCCAGGATGGGGCTGTCCCAGGCTCTGGTCCCGTCAGGAGGAGCACAAACCACACCTCCTGGCTGCACACAGCAGCTTGGAACTCAGCTCGGGTCCAAGAGGAGCAGAAAGATGATCACAGAACTGTGAAACCCACAGCTGTGCTGCACATAAGCAAAGCAATGGAGAACAATACAAAAAAAAATTACATCTTGTTTAGGATACGAATGGATGCTTAGAAAAGCCTTCCTTGAAAAACAGTAGCAGGAACAGAGAGGTAGGACAAGATGCCCTACCCCTTGGGAGTCAAAAGTGTTATGGAGACCTGCAGAGCCCAAGGGCTGAAGAGTCTGTGCGACTCTGCCAGAGCATCGATCCCGCAGTCAAGCCTTTCCTTCCAGTGTTTCTCCGGAGGGGGAAGCAGGACCATCCACCAGATCTTCTCTTTTCATCTTCCACACACTTCCAAGAACAACTGCTCTTCTGCAGACGAAGCCTTGAGTCACGGCTCCCCGCAGGCTGACTGCAGAGCCTGAGTCACCTTGCAGCAGAAGGCTGTGACAGAAAGCTGGTGTCACTACACCCTCGTCTCCTGCATCCAAACACGAACCTGCTAGAAGCACACATTGCTGCAGTTTGGGAACCGGTGAGGGGGAAAGAAATAGCAGAGATGCTTAAAAATTGAAAGCATTTGCTGCTGCTGTCAGCGTGGCTGGACACCTCTTTCCCAGCTGAGACCTGGAGGTGACAGCCAGCCTGCCAGAGAGCAGGTACGTGGGAACGGGAAGGAGCAGGGCTAACACAGCCATCTTTTGGGTCAAATTCTCATCTCTTCTTTATTTCCAGCCTTCGTGCCACGCACAGCTCGCAACACCAACAGGGCAGCCCTCAGACCACCACCTTTTGCCAATATCTTGTGGAGGCAATGCCAGAAGAGTTACGAACCCCCAGACTCTTGTTTTACAGACAGCGTGCAAAAACCCCACAGCCTAGCGGTGCTGAACACGTTCTACCAAACACACAAGAAGCAGCGTGTAAAATTATAAATGGAAAAGCACTGGCCAATTTACAACAGGACTCAAAAAGTCCTGCCTTTGCAACTAGTGATCCCCAAGGTCTTCCGCTGGCCTAGATATATGACCTAATCCAGAGGGATTTACATAGCTCTGGAATGGACATGTACGAAACCTGAAAATTCACAATTTTTTGATGATTTAAAAACCAGTCACATTACATACTTTTTATTTAATAAAAACAGGTACAAAAATGTGATTCCGTATCTTTAAAATCTAGGCTCAAAAGGACTGAACAGTGTAGTTCAGGCAGTAAAGTGCAAGGAGAGCGGTTACCCCAGTCACACTTACTGCACAAACACCCCTCACACGGCGGGAAGGAGCAGAAAGAGCAGACGGAGCCCACGCCGCTCAGCTCTTCACACACATCCACGGCAGAGAGAGCCACGGGTCACGGACACGGGTGGCCAGAGGCAGCCACAGCCGGCAGGAGCGGGCTGCGAGGAACCAGGCCAGGGAAAGCTAACAAAGACAGAGACGTCGCTTTTCCACATTGTGACAGGCACCTTTGGAAACACCATCTTCCCCAGTCCATCACTGCCCCTCTATGATGCAACAAATTATAAGATGATGATTTACTAAATCACGACACGAGCCTCCAAACTGTTTTGCTCAGGTGAACACCGTAAGCGGTCGGTCTGTAAAATAAACAAAGTACTAAATTGGCTTCTGGACTGAGACGGGACACTCTTCCCCCAGTTAAAAGCATGCTAAAACGGCATCCAAAAGTCAAACTTCTTGTTCTAAGGGACTGCTGAGGAAAAATTAAAAAAAGAAAATATTTTTATTTTTTTAAAAAACAAGAGAGCAGCAATATCTTTTTCTTCAGGACACGAATTTGGAAAACTGGGTATGGACAGAGAACAGCAGGAGCACAAGCACCCAGCTGGGCAGGAAGAGGGGTTCCCAGCGAGGCCTGCGGGGAGCACAAGGTGAGGTGCACACACACACACCCCCACCCCAGCAGCAGGTACCCTGCAGACACCAGGACTGCAGCCGGTGTCAAGCCAACAGGGTGCCAACACCCCAAAAGTCAGGCACAGAAACCTTAGCACGCCGAGCACAATACTCCAATATAGTGCAGTTTGAAAACTTACTATCCTTAATTATAACTGCAGACTTAAATGTAAAAGTAGTGACTTATTCTGCTTTCAATTGAAATGGGTCTCTGCCAATTCTAGAGGAGCGAGAGCCAGGTGACACTGACGAGAACCCTGCTTTGCCCACACCGAGAAGCAAGACCAGGATTTCACAACAACAACAACAAAGCAGGGCAGGAGAGCGCATCCCTAGTTATCCACATTTTACACATCCAGGAAAAAACGTCCTCCTCAGTGCTCAACTAAGCGGGAGCGACTGAAGGGAGAAGATTCCAGTATGAATCAACACTACAGGAACATTTCATTCTGCAGGTGAGCTGCTTCCCAGCAAACACCACCCAGTGCCTGACAGCACAGCAGCTGTACTGTCAGCTCCAGGGCAGTACACACCACGGAGACCCAGCGGTCCCGGCACCTTTCCTGCTCACACCAGGGCAGCACAGCACAGCACTCCAGCCACCGATGCCACTCCTTAGCCACATTCACACCGGGTGTAAAAGAAAATCCATTCACCAGGGAGAATATCTCATTTAATAGAAAAGGGTGGTTTCATACAAAGTACTGTGGAGAAGTATAAGGCCACATGAAGAGCATCATCAAGTTGACACGGTGGCTATTTCTTAATTCAAAACACAATTAGTACTTCCTCTGGTGCTTTGATACAGGTAAATGAAAGCCTTGAACAATTTCCTATAAGGTGCACAAGCATCCACAATACATAAAAAAAAAAACCTCTTAATTTTCTATTTATCCTGTACTCAAAAAAAAAAATATAAACAGAGACCCAGCTAATTATTCATGGGTTGCCGTTTTTGCATTTTTCTGTAGATTTTGATACGCTGGTTTAGTAGGACTGAAAAATAAAGCATAATTTTTAGTGTCAAAGCTTCTAAACAGTGTTTGTGCTTCTACTTCCATCAGAGAAATCTGGATCCTCCAAACTTCGTTCTGGTGGAGTGTGGACTCAGGAATGCCCAGTACATCAAACTTCTACCAAAAGTCACAATGGCTTCCACTTGCAAAGGGTATGAATTTATAAAATGCTAAGGATTTCAACACTGATTTTCTCTCAGAAAAGAATTCTGATTTGGTTTGTTTTAAAAACGATGACACACTTAGATCTCAAACCTCCAGTGTCACCTGCGTAAGGAGGGTGTAACAGCACCAGCCCATTGCAGGATCAAGATCTGCAAGTGTGAAAATCCCAACCACTCTGACTTATCAAATATCATGTGTTTACAAAATGCTCTAATTGCAATACTGTAGGTTTATTGAAAAGGAATTTCCAAAACTCTGGGTCTCATACTGCACACCCTTACTAATGCAGGTCAAGTAATTTGCCTGCACATCAAGACCAAAACGAATAAATACAAAATATATTTGGTATAGAAAATACTAGTATAAAAATTAAAAATCACCCTGTTTTACTGTCCATCAAAATATTAACAGCAAGCATTACACGTGACTTTTTTAACCTATTGCCAAAATCATTTCCAAAGAGTTCTGCTTTCCTGAAGTGCTGGTGATTGCATTTGCCCAAGGATTGAAAACAAAACACATAGGGAAGGGACGAGGAAAGATACGACCAGTTTCTCACATAGCATTATTAACAGAGGACCTAAGGGAAACTAAAGTATGCACAAACAAGGAGGAGGGGGGGAAGCCATTGTCAGTTCTGTTGCAACCATCAGAGCTCTTCCTGGTTTTCAGAAAGTTTGTAGAGAAGGAGTTTCCTCTCGCTAGCCCTGACAGACCGACGACGGCATGGGGATGAGCATACTCAGAGAGCTGCTGCTTTTCGGTTTCTCTGCTGTGGCAATTCTGTTGAGTTTGCCAACCTCTGTCTGCCAGCTGGGGATCTTCTTCGTGGTCATATGGCGGCGGGTGTGCTTTGTCAAGTGATCGCTGCGCATGAAGCGACGCTCACACACGGGACAAGCAAACTTCTTCTCTCCCGTGTGAGTTCTACGGTGGCGTGACAGTTCATCTGAGCGGGCAAACTTCTTGTCACAGCCTTCCCAGTTGCAGCTGAAAGGCTTTTCTCCTGCAGGGAATAAAAGAAGCATAACTTACTTTTGAGAAGTTGCATTATAGTTTTAGCAAAGAACTAACTCAAATCCTGCCATGTAAAAACTGATCAACCTGGCTGATCAGGTGGTCCTGCTTTGGCAGGGAAGTTGGACTAGATGATCTCTATGGTCCCTTCCAACTCTAAAAATTCAGTGAAATTCAGTGAAACCTGCTCATGTGCGCAGTCAACATTAGCTTAAGCTCAAGTTGTGTTCCAGGGAAAAATCACAGGTGTGATTTCTACTTATTCCCTCATATCTCTTTAGATGTTATTTAATCGAGTCTATTTTTTATTCAATTATCCAAAACCCCAATTACCCAAGATCCTTCATCTTTTTCTTTCAACTGGGTTTAAAGCTACCTTATCCACTGACTGAACTAGGAGCAACCCTCTGCCCCCACCCCTGTGTGACCCAAACTCTACGGCTGCTGCATGGCATCAGCAAATACGGTGGGCAAACAGGAAGCTTGGAGTTGAGCCTCAGAGCCCTGCTGCTCAGTCCTACACACAAACACACCATCCCAGCCTGTGCTACCGAGGAAGGACCTGTCCTGCCATCCCCACGCAGCTGGAGCTCCAACAGACAGCCCCAGGGAGTTCTGCATGTCCAGGAATGACAGCAGTGCCCACGTCACCCTGAGCAACTGCTCAACATCAGACCTATTCTAAACAGCATGATCTACCGCCAGCAAACCCCATAAATCTCAAGATAAACACCGATCACATGACCCCAATGTACGGTAACACTCTGGAGCAGAACAAAAGCATCCAGCAGAAAGGAAGTCCCACAGAAGCGTTGTTCTTATTTCAGGTATTGAGTGTAAATTTCTATGTTTGGTGTACATGATGTCACATAGCTACTCAGTGCACAGGGGAAAAAAAAGCTGAACTACTCTGTCCCCCAATCCTGTAACGTGGACTGGCCAGTGAGGGGTCTGTGTGCTTCACCTCCCATAAACATCTTGTCTTAATCCTGGTGCAGGGACACACACAGCTTCCCTATGGATCAGCAGCAGCACAGACTCAAAGCAAGACACTTGTTATCATGTAGTGCTGAGTTAATTGAGCAGCCTGCAGCACTTAACTCTCAAGCCAGAACTAGAAGCATCATTCTACCTCTGAGCTCTGGTTTACAAGGAAGGATTATCAGCTTCATACAGGGTGTAAGCTCTTTCCCCAAAGGAAATGTAAAGACAAGATGGCAAATTAATGCAAATCCTGCCACAGAAGCTGACATCCAATAAACCACAGTGTCTGTGGGGCAAGAGACTGTGGGGGAAAAAAGCCAAGGAAAACCAAAATTAGACAAACTTTTGAATGAGCTATTTTGTACCAATCTCCCGCTATGCTATCCCTTCAACATCAAAAATAGTCTCTAAGAACTCGTTAGTTTTAACTTAACAGGATCTCTGAGCTAGAAAAAGGATAAGTAAAACACAAATATACTGACTCCACACTGAATGGATCTTATGGAGCCAATCAGCTCACATTAATTACAATTAATTTCATTTACCTTTAAAATTCCCTTTCTGTAACTGAATAAACAGCTATGTTCCTGTAGCAGCTCTACGTCCTAACACAGTAGCCCAAAATCTCAATGCACTCCCATTTAGCCTAAGCAAAACTCAAAAAAAATGTGTGGTTTCCGACTTCATCTCTTTTCTTTTATGTGTGTAACAATTAAGAGCAACTACCTGTACTATGGTTTGCTTACACCAGACTTCTCCATGCCCCAGAAAAAGGGGCATGGAGACTTGCACAATTCATTTCGATCTAGTCCAGATGGCAGGATTCCACTCAAACCTAAACACACACACACACACACAGACGGCAAAGCTTCGCTCCAACTAAAGCATGTGAAATTCAACTAACGCTATAGGGTCAGCTGAGGTCTCAGAACAAAGTCTGTCTTGTTTTGCTTGCCCACGGAGAATGAACATTCCTTCCTTCCCTGAGATGAGCAGAAGTTCCCTGGTCACCTGCCTCTTCCCTTTCCCAGCCCCCCCAAAAAACATGCATTTTAGGTCCCTAACACAAGCCAGGGCTGGAGCAATAAAGAACCTGCCCTGTGGTACACACCAGTGTGGGTGCGAAGGTGGGCTTTGAGGTGGGAGCTTTTGAAGTAGGTTTTCTTGCACCCAGGGAAGTTGCAAACATAATTCCTCCGTCTAGAAAAGTCCATCTGGGGGGCACAGCTTTGACCAGAAGCTATGAACACAGGAGCAGGAGCAAGGGGCAGTAACTTGGTGTTCCCAACAGTCATTACTGTTTGGGGGCACTGTGGTGTCTGTGTGACAGCAGTCTGTGGAAGAACCAGCATGACGGTCCCCTGAGGCACAGAAGGTCCCATGAGCACAGGCTGAGAGAGCGGGGCTGTCTGCGGCAAAATAGGTTTCATGGGAGTCGAGACTGTTGGAGTTGAAGGCTTGACATAGGCATTGATCATACTGCTTTGTCCATTGAAAGGGATCATTTGACAGAGAACCTGAGGGCTTGAAACGGGGGCAGGTGTCACCGGGGTAGCTCTTTTTTGCAAGTCATTCTCACAATTCTTTGGTAAGTGGGTCTGTGGTGAAACGGGCCGGACTGGTATCTGTCCTTTATTGGTCACAGTATCACTGGAGTCATGTGCATAAGGCTGATGTACTGGAGAGGTTTTGTTAATTAAATCATCTGCAGCACACGTGTCCTGTGGCAGCCTGGAATGTCTTCGGTCATCCGCTCCACACCAGTCTCTGGAAGCGCCGTAGCCTGAAGTTACCTTTGTTTTCTCTTGCGCAGCAGGAATGTGATGGTAAGCAGAACTATCACCTGTGTGCCGTATCACGCTTGTCGCCATGGCCCTGCAAGGCTGAGGGGCAAAGGATTCGGACGTCACCGGCTTCTGAGTGCACTGTCGCTCCACGTTGGTAACAGATGGCTTGGGTATGGGAGAGGCACCGGTCGCTGACGTGACTGAGCAGGCAGCTGTATTTGCCATGACAGTCCTCGGTTTGGAGTAAGTGACTTGTGAGGAGAGGAGCATAGCAGCTGATATCTCGACAAAGTCAGGGCTGTGCGGAGGGGTCATGCACTGCAAAAAAGAAAACACCGTTACACAGCCATGCAATTTCATCCCACAATTTTTCACTATCTTTACTGTGAAAAATAAAATTACACCCTCTTCCCAGAATCTCAGAACCTGCTTCTTGGGACAAACTTATTAAAGCATGCATTGCCTCACCTGATGGCCATTCTCAATATGCTCAAAAGTACATTAATAAAAGGCAGGCAATGAGGCAGATGTAAACCTGGATAAAACATTGCATGTCCACTCACTGTGCTACAAAAACCTCTCTCTTTCCTTTCCCCTCAGCAATGAGTGCAGCTGTAAGAGGCTATGAGCTCTCTGCTGTTCACAGAAAACAGACTAGCAGCAGACACCAATACTGCAGCATTTCAATTTCAAGCCACCAGCAAGCCCTACATCTTTTACCAATGGTTACCCCACCAGTTGGTGGCCACTTCTGAGAGATATACAAATGGAAATGCTCTCTCCCTTCTTATTCACTCATTTCTCTCTATGCTGTCTTGCTGTCACCACCTCTCCTTCCTCCTTTACCACTGAAATCTCATGCCTATGTCCTGTGCTGCTCAAGAGACTAAGCAGCAGGAGTATGAGAGTGCGGCAGCTGGTTGACGGGCTTCTATCTCAGCATCTTTCCTCTATATTTCCCTTTTCCTGACATAACTGGACACTACAAATGGGCCTTAACCATCTGAATCCTGAATGGCACCAAGCCCTTTTTTTAATACCTACTTTTGTTGCAACATAAACTGCAACACCAAAAAAGAAATGTGATTCAACCAAGGTTAGTCAGCAGGAGTAGGCCAATGCACTGGAGAAGTAACAGACTACATGTACAAACACATAGCGCAGAAACTAATTAAACTGTCTATTTCATAATGTTAACCGGTACTTTCTCTTATAAGGGCTAGAGCGAAGGCAAGTGTTGTCAAGTGCTTGCAAATGTTTTCGTCCAGTGAAAATGTTTTCATACAGTGCTTGCAGATAAGTTGGTGCTGAACCTCTGAGGCTCACTCTGCCATTCTGACTTACTCCAAGCGCTCCAAGAAACCTCCAATAGCCATCCAGACAGCATCCTCAGCTGTCAAGTTAAATAATCTGTCAGCAAGGGCTTTCACATCTAGACTTAACAAGGAATCAAAGCCCTACATTTGCCGTTCCAGAGACAGCAGAAAAACCCAAACTCAACATGCCCACCCAACTATTCTATGTACACACAGAGCACTGGCTGTACCGCAGCTCTTCTGCACCAGGGGCAGAGGAGCAAGCTCTCTCTGCCAGCCAAGTTAAAACACTGCAGAGATGTAACACCCAGGTGTCAGGCGTATTTATTTTGCATTCATGTTTTCCTTACCAGCGTAGATAAATAGTCCTTTGGTAATTCAGACGTAGCCTCAGCGTGCATTGTGAAATCACCAGAATCCGAGAAGGGCGTAAGTGGCCTTATCTTTAATATGTCACCTTTCTGTGATCTTTGACCCCAGGAGCTCATACAAACAAGCGCTTCAACGGCTTCGATGTCGTTCTGCTCCAAGGTGCTGCAGGTAGACCTTTCACTGTCATGACGCTGCCTTTCACGGATAGACTCATAGATGTCCACAATGTCAACCTAAATGTAATCGGATTACTGGCTATTAGGACAACTCAGAATACAAAGCCGACACCACCCACATACTGTCTGCTCACGATGAAGGTCAACTGAAACAGATCCCATGCCCGCGGCAAGGCTTTTACCAACCAGCTCAGCTCTCACCCTCCCCCACAGGCTCATCCTCCTACCCCTGCTACTCTTTAAAAAAAAAAAGAAAAGAAAAGAGAAGTAGTAAGATTTGGAGGAAAGGAACAGATATGTGTGCAGCTCACGTTTCCAGAGTTACTTTCCTGGATTACACTGCTCTGAGTAAACACATCCCACGCTTGCATACATGCAAAAAGAGGAAAAAAATCCCGACCTCCAATCTTGTTTAGACAAGGCTGTTTCCCAGCCCCGAAAGGCAACTGCTATTCAGCACTGATCTCATTCTGGTAACATTTAGAAGACAAATTTCAGCTGACAGTAAGATGCTCTAAGGTATGATCACTGATTCAGACTACCACACCTCGCAAAAGCATTTTAATCTTATTTTTACCAATACAGAAGCTGGTGGGGGGAAGGAAGGAAAACAGTCCTCAAAGTGCAGTGGGAATTGTTTGCATTGTACTTTAGAAAGGCACGATACCACATGGGGGTTAGGTATCCCAAGAGGCACTACGAGTCACATGAAGACAAATGGAATCATATCATTCCCAAACGCAAGCATCACAGAAAATTTGTGTGTATGTGTGCAGAACGCTTGACTTCTCCAGAAAGCATGCCCAAACTTCATAAAGTGCCCTCAGTGTTTGACAGTGACTCCCAAAGCTACGCTCTGCTGCTGGTTTATGGCTCACGTGCCAACTCGGTCTCAACTATGTGTTCAAACTCTTCCAGTCTTTAGGCACACCAATGAACTGTGAGGCCTGGCATTCAGAAGCACAGACCAAGATTCTCCAGCCTGCTGCTGTTATATTGCATGCTTAGATACTGCGGAAAAAGGGGTTTTAACTAAAAAAAGCAACATCAAGCACCACACTGTTCAGATGGTCTAAAGCTCTAGAGGAAACTATAATTGTTGGATGACATCACTTACACACCTAAGTCAAGGATTTTTGCTACTGAGTTAACTGTGTCAGTTAACACAGAATGACCCTGGTGACATCATCTCACGAAGATGCACAGCTGTGTGACGTTGTCTCAGCTGCAGGGATGTGCATGGCAAACACGTTAAACATAACAGCTCCAAAAATCACCGAATATTCATGGTTGGAAGGGACCTTTGAGATCATGGAGCCCAACCACTTGCACAAATGCCAGCACTTGCACTCCGAGAGGACTTTCACCTAAAGTAAGAGGCACCATGAACAGAGATGTGAAGACACGGGGGCAAGAAAGGGTTAAAGCACTCTAAAGCTATTAACGGCTCTGGGAGAGACTTCCAAGAATTTCCCCGAAAAACAAGGAGAAGGAAGGAGGGCAGAAAGCAATGCCTGGACCTGGTTGCCTGTCAGACAGGAGCTGAACCAGGCCAGGCTCTGCAGCCTGACCCGAAGCGGGGCTGCAGGCAACCAACCAACCCGCCACGTTATTTTTATTTTTTTTTTCCAACTCAACGCTTCAGGAGAGCAGTCTTCCCCCAAAGAAACGTGACAAAATGTTCCCCGCTTCGACGAAAAAAAAAAAATAAAAAAAAAACAACCCAAACCTTTAAAAAGCCCCCTTTTTAAGGCGAGGGCGGCGGCCCGGTCTCTCCGGCTGCCAGGGAACGGCGAACGGCGCCGTGTCCTCACATCACCCCGTACGTGCGCGGGCAGGGACGATCGGCCCCCCCCCTTCCCTCCCCCCCTCCCGGGGCCGAGCCACCCCCGCGCCTCACGGCGGGTGCCCCCGGCCGGGCGGCGCCGCGGAGGGGCGGATGGCGGGAAGAAGGGAAGGAGGAGGAGGAGGAGGAAGGCAGCTCCCGCTCTGCCGCCTCCCGCCCCCGCAGGTGACCGGGGCAACACCCTCCCCTGAGGGAACGGCACCGACCGACCCCCCCCGCGCCGGGTAACGGTCACAACCGATCCCCCCCCCGGCTGAGCAACGGTCCCAACC